TTTTCTCTGGGGGGGGGGGGGCTGCATCTCCCATCACTGGGCACACCCTAGACATTCTTGATAGGTCTGGGGAGTAGGGAAAGGAAAACAGGATGCTCATCAGCAGCCCCTTTCAACCACCTAAGTCACTGGCTTGGTCAGCGGTGCTTGGGCCGGGACAGGCCTGCATGCCTGGGGCACTGAGAGGCCCAGAAACCCCACGTGGGGCTGGGGCAAGGAAAGGCGGAGCTGGGCTTTACCCTGGCCTTCCACCAGTTGGCCAGAAAAGCCTCTGGAAACCTCTTCAGGGAAAGTAATTTGGGCCTAAGTCCTGAGCAGGAGGCTCCTGGCCAGTTGGGGGTGGTACTGGGGTACCCAGCCCCGCCGTCCCGTGCTCCAAATCCTAATTCAGTTCTGCCACCCATTAAGGAAAAAAAAAAGTCAGCTGGATTTCAAAGGTTTCCTCTCACCCTCAGTCTTCTCTGCACTTATCAAGGGCTCTCTCTCTCCAGGGGCCTAACTGACCTTCCCTCTTGATTAGGTGTTAAGGGTCCCTCCTGGAAGACCCCTGGTTCCCCCTTCAGTCAGATTGGACCAGGGCCAGGGCCCAGTCCTCCTCCATCCAAGTCAGCCTCCACCCTGAGCGCAAGAGTCAAGTCTGAACACTTACCCGCACATCCCTTCCAGCTTGGCCCAACTTCTTACAGGACTTGTGGGGGAGGGGAAGCTGGTGAGGAGGCAGCTGAGGGTCGTGGAGGCTCTACTGGGCCCTCCTTCCCTCTCACCCCTTGACTTTGTCCCCCTTTGTCCATAGCAAACTATCCCAAAAGTCGCTATGACATTTAGATGTCAAATGGATAGGGGTTTTATCTCGAAGTTAGATCGTAAAAATCGCGGAGAAGTCAGACAGATACCCCTCACTGGCTCGAGAAAGTCACGTGAGGTCCATAAAGTTAGTTTTATGGTTTTGGGGAGTTGACACCGCGCGGTATATTTCACATTCTCCAGAATGTTAAGTGACACTTTAACTGCTCGCTGTGGTGGGGAAGGGGGCAGAGGTAGGTGAGGGCTCTCTCCCAGCCCAGAAGGCAGTGGCGGCAGCCGAGGCCCAGCACTCCCGCAGTAAGTGGCTTCCAGCTTTCGGTTTTTCTCCTTGCAATTTTGGCGCTTGGAACTGGGGAAGGAAATCTTGCGTCTGGTAGGTCTGTAGGATACGTGGGAGAAATTTAGTCTGCTTTTTGCACCAAGATCTGACAAACTGGGTATCTGAAGTGGGGGTGGGGGGCACTCAGTTCAATAAGGCCTCAGTGGTTGAGGCACCTGGTTTTTATTTGCAATAGCGTCTGACTCTTTGTGGGGAAAAGGGCTTGCGTGGGTTCCTTCAGTGGCCTTGGAAATTTAGGTGGTAAGAAGAAGGGGTGTGTACTGCTGAAAGAAGGGCCCCTTGTGGGGGCCACTTCACTGCTGGATATCTTCAGACAGACATCTCCCCACCCCCAGGAAAGAAACTTTATGACGTTCATTTGTTAGGGGTGTGTTGGGGGCGCGCCGCTGGGCACTTTTATCTGTATACATCTGAGCTGAGAAAAAGCACTGGGAAGGCTAATGCAGCTGCTGTGGGCTGCCTTGCACTGAAACATTCTCTGGCTCTCAGATCTTTGAGCCCCATAAAAGGGGTACCTCCGATTCTCCATAGCCTCATCAGGGTTACCCAGGATGCGGAGCATGGCGATTTTGCACCCCATTTCAGTCTGTTGGTTCCAAGTCAACCCTCTGCTTGACTCTAAGTAAAGTCCTAAGGTCAGAGTGGGGAGCGGACAGAGGGGGGGCAATCCCCTCAAATCCAAAACCTAATTCCTGGTCAGCAGTGGGTGGAAGGGGAGAGCTTTTCCCCTTCCTAGAGGGGTTAGGTGCTTAAGTAGGTCCCTGGAAATCCTTCCATAAATAAAAATTGCTCAAGAAAGTAGACCCCAACTGTCGGTAGGGACAAAAAGGGACTCAGGAGCTGGGAAAGAAAATTGAAAAGGTGCTCTCTTTCCTTTCCTTTTCTCTCTCTACCAGACCCTTAGAAGCCCCTTTGTTTTGTGGCACCACAAACCAGAGGGATTTCATTATTTGACCCTCGGAGGCTTCTTATTTTCCAAGGATAAGTCACCCTTCTAAAAATCAGAGGCTTTTTCTCCACCAAATTTACCCCCCAATTTTGAGACTATTGGGTCAACCACCCTGTCACTCCAGCTTTTGCTAGCCCGCCAGCTCTTGCTTCAGCTTACTGATTCCTGTGGATAGTGCATGGAATCGGACATGTGGCCCATTAAGGGGCTTCTGATCTTTGGGACAAGGAGAGGGTCACAAGATTCCCTCCACTTCCCATTAAAGCACATTCCCACTCTCTCCCTCTGTCCTCTTTCTTATGCAGCCACCCTCTGTTCCCCGAGCTCTTCAATCCCTGCACAGGCCTGACTTACAGACTGTGAGAGCAAAGAGGACAGAGGGCTTGGGGTCCTCACCCTGACTTGAAGACACATCTTCCCAAGAATGATGGGGCATTTGTAGACCTTGGAAAGGAGGCTCTTCTCCCAAAAGACTCCCAGCACCATATCAAATACTAATAAATGTTGCAGTCATGGCTTCCACAGGCTTCCACTTTGGACAAGGCAAATGAGTTGAGTGAGGTGCAGGGGAAGCTGCAGCAGAGGCAGAATCCGACCTGGGGGCTCCTGGGAAGCCCCATCCTATTGCGAACCTGGCTTCCCTCTCTCAGAAACCCCAGACCACCAGACTTGTCCCTGAAGATTTTTTTGTCCCCTCCCATGTCAGTTCTGCAAATTCTGATAAAGAGTGTGTGGGACCTGCGGCCCAAGGACATCTGCAGATTTTCCGGAATGGCAAAGAGCAGCCCTGAGCAGGCGGCGTTGCCCATTTCCGCTGAGGCCGAAACCCTTGGAGGGTCTTCTGTTCTATGCTGGAGAAGACGCCTTAGCTGGGCTTTCCTCTTCCCCACTTCAGGCTCTCTGGGTAACAGTCTCCCATGAACCCCAACAAGGAAGTGTTTGGGGAAGAGATGAGAGGTGAGAAGAGATCTCTGGTACAAAGGAACTCTGTCCTCTGCCCCAGACCGGCACCCTTTCCTCCCACCTTCCTCAAGACATTCTCCAGGTCTCTCTTGAACTTTTCTCTCCCTCCTCTCTCACCCGCTTCCTCTGGGTCCAGGCTTCAACTTTCTGAGCTTCAGGCTTGTACCATCTGGCCAGATCCTTGCGCCCGGCCTCCCAGCCAACGGGCAGGAGCACTCTCAACCTGGGGCAGGGTGGAGGAGGCGGCAGCAGGACTTTGAGGCTGAAGTTTCCCTTTCCCCTTGGAGGCCAGCCTGACCATCACTCAGTAGACAATTTGATTGTTTTGTTTTATTTGGTTGTGTTTTTTTTTTGTTTGTTTTGTTTTGTGTTGTTTCTCCGTGGCCACGGGGTGGGAGGAAGTATAAAGAAGTGTAAACAGGAAAGCCAGCCGGGCCTGGAGTTCTGAGGGCCAATATTTCATTGGCTTCCTCTCCATAACTGAAGCGGGGACACTTAACCCTTCCCTGGCTGTGAGAAGGTATTCACTGGGGACTGGTGGGGCAGGGTGTAGGGAGGAGATCTAAGTTGGAAGCTCCTTTCAGGGCCTGGTTCCTTTATTCCTCAGGTCTGGTTGCTGGGGCAGAAGGCTGAGGATTTGGAGAAAGGGACAAGACAGCCCAGCCTGCTCCACAATCCCCCAAACTCAGTCCCTTCCAGGACCGAAAGGAGAAGGCTCCTGCCTTCTCAGCCTGGGGATGACCTGGGCCAACCAAGGAGGACAGGGCTGGCTAAAACCTCTCCCTTCTCCCTTCCGTTAGGGGAGAGCGCACTGGTCACTCTCTCCATTTTGGGAGATTCTAGGAGTAATCGGATTTCAGGCTGGGATCTGCCCACAGCAGGACTTATCGATTGCTGCAGCGCTGTTACACATCCATATTAATTAACCCAGACACCGCCTGGAAACCGAGGAGGGGGAGGGGAGAAATAGGGGCCCCTTAAGGAGTAGGGACAAATCCCTCTAAGTGTTCCTGGGGCCCAGATTGAAGAGTTAGTCCCCACAAGAATTATCTGGCCTTCCCCAGGCTCAGTCACTGCACTTCTCAACAGGGATAAGTGAGACCTAGTCTCTTCAGTTGGACCCCACACCAAATCTTCTAGGGGAGGGGGTGGAATTAAACACCCCGTAGGCCCCATGGACTTTTCCTAGTCAGAGTTAGGGTGCCCAGTCCTCGGATGGATGGGTCTTTTGGTAAATGATCTCAGCTCGACCTTTATAGAGGGGTTAATGCCCCTCCCCACCTTCCTTTCAACTTCCCCAAGGTAGAAGCTTTTTCTGGTTTGGAAGCTTGTTTTGTTTTAGTGTTTGGTGGTGGCGGTAGTGATGGCCTACCCCTTCCTCTTACCCCTCCCTCCAAAAAGTGATTAAAATCTGTTAAAGGATTTAATTAAGAGAGTTAAATGAAAAGGAAGGAGGCGCAAATGAGTTGGGGGAAAAAACCCACACCAAAGCTATTCTCAACGATTAAATCGCCATTTTAACAATATAATGGAGTTTGCATCCTGAAAGGGGAAATCAACGCTCATATCTCATCAATAATTCATAGAGTCCGGGATCACGCAGAGGTCAGCAGACGGGCCGGAGCGCCGGCCTAGTTGGGGCTGCCAGCCGCTGCCGCATACATTAGCCGCGGGTGCCTCGCTACCTCCACGGCTACGGGCCGGCCGGGGCAGGGGCATGCCCACAGGTTCAGGTGGATTTTACGTTCTTTCATTTTGGAGAATTTACTGAGACCTAGATTTCGGGTTCCAAGAGGAAATGGGGGATTTAGGAGACTGGAGAGGATCTGAACGTCAGGCAATTCCGGATTTGCCTGACCTGAATATCACCACCTTCCCAAGTTTTAATCTCTCTTCCTCTCATTTCTCTTCCTTTTCTCTATTTTAGGTGTCCTCTGTCCTGTCCCTTCTCTCCCTAACTTTCTTTCCCCTTGGAGGGAAAATGCACTCTCTGCAGCATCCTCTAGCTTCTCTTTGGAAATGCTCCCAGGCTGCCGGGCTGTGCTCTGGCCTCGCTCTGAGTGGATTCGGGCTGATCCCCCAAGGCTGTGGCCTTGGCTGCTGCCTCCAGCTCCAGCTCGAGCTTGGGGCCCCGCTTTGGTGGCAGGGGTTGCTGAACCTCGGAGCCCTGTGTGCTAGAGATGAATGCTTCTGGGGAGGAAAGGTGCCATGCCCAGTCGGGCTTGCTTAGCCAAGAGATGATGCAGGTCAGGTGGAAAGGAGGAGATTCAGCTTGGAAAACAACATTTAGGGGAGAAGTGGAGGGAGAGTCCCAGCAAGTGGGAACATCTCATCTGGGGGAATTGGAGGCAGCAGGGAGGATAATTCTATCTCCCAGAGTTTCTGCAGTCTTGTTCCATTTTCACCTTCCTCTCCGGGTGTGTCTCTCTAACTTGCTCTCTCTTTTCTGTTTTCCGACTCACATGCGTCCCTAGGGAAAGAGGAATGAAACTCTTGCTTGTGAGAGGTGAGGAGCATGGGACGAAATATTTGGGCGCAAGGGAAACCAAAAGAGCGCAGGTCGCCTGCACGGCCGCTGCGCTGGCCGAGAGGCAGAGGCTGTAACGTCCCCGAGCTGCCAGTAGAGTCCGCCTTAGACCAAGTTCACAGCCAGGCTGAGGCCTCGGAGGCGCCAGCGAGCGGCAGCGCAAGGTGGCCCGGAGCCCGCTGGGCCTCCCGTGGCCTGGATACTGAGCTCTCTTTCTAGCCTTTTGGGGACTGCCGTCTCCTCTTCTCCCAAGAAACCCTTGCTCCAAGCTCTCTCCACTTTTCACCCCAGAAATACCCTTCTTTAAGTCAGACCATTCTACGGCTCCCCATACGTCTCCTGGCCAGCAACTGACCCCACTCTGGGGGACAGGAATGGAGAGGAGTGGGTCATCAAAAGCTCTTCCGGGCATCCTAACAAGAGATCGGTGAAAATGCGGGAAGTGGGGTGAATGCGGGGAGTAGGGTTGGCATCTTTTCCCAAGGAGTTATTTAATAATCAAAAGACTCCTCTTCCCCGATCTAAAGCCCCTAGTGTGTGTGTGTGTGTGTGTGTGTGTGTGTGTGTGTGTGTGTGTGTGTGTGGTGGGGGGAGGGGGAGGGGCAGGGAAG